CGTCGTCTCCCGTCGGTTGGCGAGACGACCCTGGCTGATCGGCGATAGGCGCACCCTGCTGGAGCCTTTTGAAGTAAGTACTGTAATCCTGGCGCCGAGTATACTCCTGAGCTGTAGTCCGGCTCTTGATTAGGTCAGCCTGCTTCAGCTCCGCGAAGTTAATACAACGCATCTGAGTCGTGTCCTGAACCCCCATTTCACCAAATAATTTGTAAGGCTGTGGGGTGACTCCGAAGTGACGGGCGAGTGCCGTAATGAAATGACCAATGGCCGGTGCTCCACGCTGGTTGAGCGCAATTTCTTGCAAGGTGTTCTGCAAGAAGGTCATGGAACACACTCGTACTCCCGCTCTCATCGCCCACAAGAGAAAAAGCTCGACCTCACTGACCTTGTTCGCCTCCTTTTTTCCGGAGATGTTGTAGCAGATGAACCGGTGAACTACAGCAGTGGCCAGGTCCTGAATAAGCCCATTGGACATGCCGACGGAGTCCCAAGTCGTATGTGGGGAGAGTTCGGCCCAACACTTGTGGGGGTCGAAGTCGATGGCCTTGCTACGCGTACCGGCAATGGTGAATCTGCAAACGTCTTTCATGACGGCGTTGTCCACTGTAAAATCCGTCCCCTGAAGCCGACAAGTGAAATATTCGTTCCCATCAGTGAGAACAAAGGAGCTGAAAAACTCAAGCATAAGGCCGCGATGCGATGTGTGCTCTATCTTTGCGTAGTCGAGTAAGTTAAGGACCTTGAGGTATTTAGTGACGTCCTCGAGAATTCCCAAATCATTGAGGAGGTCCCAGTCAACTGCTTTCGGCTTCACCACTTCCTTTTGCGAGAGTCGGGCGAAAATCTCGCCCTCCTTCCGCGAGTAAATCGGGAACGGGGCATTATATTGATCCGAAAGGTCATCCCGTTCGCCTACCGGAGGTGCATCTCGGGAAGAGGATTCGCCCGCTTTCCGCTTTTTAGCCGGCTCTTGGGTGGATTTCTTCTTAGTTGGACGGGTCGGTGTCTTGCCCATTTCGAAAAGAAGTCGAATTGTCTTTCGGGCAATATATCAAACACCTTGTGTGCCAAGTTGGAAATGCAAACTTTGGGGAAGACAACAATGGTTGAACCCAACTAGTACCTCCTCTTCCAATCTCAATATATCAACAATATCGCGAACAACAAATATGCTTCAAAGCAATAGCAAAGAGGACGATTACCGGAGGCTAAATTCTTGAAACTCCTTGAACCGCAAAGGTTGGCCCGGAGATGGAGGAAGAAGGGAGGAGTGGTCGGATTGTTGCTATTGATGGGCAGAGATGACGACGGCGTGGAGAATCGCGGGTGAGACGACGGAGAAGGCGGCGGGCAACGACGGTGCGACGACTAGGGTTCACAACTCTCACTCCTCCACCGATGAAAAACCTCGTGCACGGCCCTTTGGAGGATAACCACGGCCAAGTGAGAGTTCTTGGTGAATAAATTCAAGAAATTCGATGCTTGGTGATGAATGATGGGGATGATGGTTAATCGCTGGGTGTGTTTGACGTTTGGGAGAAGATGGAATGGCCGAGATTCTGTCTTAGGGCGCTTTAAAACGCGAGTCTCGCGGCCCGCGACTGTGCCCGGGTCGCGACTTGAGTCTGTCGTCGCGGGCAATTTTTCTTTGCCGCGGGCCGCGACCTTGCCCGCGGCCACGAGGATTTGGAAACAGAAGTTGGGGTGACGGGCCCTTTTGTCGCCGCGGCTCGCGGCTAAGAAAATTTCCGCGGCCGCGACCTACCTCCGCGGGTCGCGACGTGACGCCGAGGCCGCAACCGAAGTTGTGCTGAAGCATGATACCTGTAGATACCATTTTGTCGCCTCGGCCGCGGAGAAGAGAATGCCCGCGGGCCGCGGCGACAGTCTCAACTTTATATATATATATATAT